CGTTCGGTTTGGGAAGGCTTTTCCCAAGTGAGCACTTGCTTCAAGCCTTTCTGCAGTTCATCTGTTCTCATCCACGGAACCCCTTCGTGGTTCCATTATTTCGAATTTATTTTACTTCGAATATCTCGTTACCCACACGGGAGATACCGTTGTACATCCTGCTCGAGGAATCGTATCTAGACCCTCAGCTAAACTACTCCGCTGTCAATTCGTTCCTATTAATAGTAGACATTTAGTGTATCCTTATCTAGATGCATGGAGATGGATGTGCTGTGTGTAAAATATTGAGAAAAAGATGAAACACAGCAGATAAGAGTCCTGTTTCTCTCTCTGGCTCTCCTTGGCGGCGACCTCGATATACCTACCAAACCTACCGCTTGTAGTGGACGGCCATGGCTGCGAACGGAATTACGTGCTCGTCATGTTGTGGCCCGCACCTCCTGCTCCGTGGTCCCCGCTGCTTCTGAGCAATCGCGCTTGTGTGTGTGTTGTCCCATCTATTCTGGCGCCGGTCTGCACGCCTCTTGGCGTATGTACTGACGCAACAGCCGGGGTCAAACCAGAGAAGGTCACACGGGATTTTTTTTCATTTTGTGGTTCGTTGTTGCCCCACCTTTTTCACTGCAATGCTGGCCTTGTTCTTTTTCGCGAGAAGTGTTTCAGCCATTCCTTTACCTCGGCGATCGTGAAGCTCAGTGTATCATACAAGTTCGCCCAGAAAACTGCCGAATGGTGTGGAAAAGGACGTCCAGAATTGATACGGGCGAGGCACGCACATGTAGAGATACGGTTGTTGTAACCTGGCGGCATGCCTTGTGGGTGAGCCAGTCATTAGCGCGGTCGACGCTCATGGAAGAAACTAGCACACGCCGAAAGAGGCACTTTAACGGCGGTATGGCGCCCGTGACGCAAAACGTGCTGAAGCACTCGGGTTGTTCGTGTGTAGACTGCTGTTGGTTCGAAGTTCGAGTGCCGAGTAGTTTCTATGTGAAAGACCACCACGCGTGACACCATTTTCGGAAATTACTTGTTCACGCGGTTGCGATGTTGATGTTGTAGGACGTGTGGGATGGCACGTACGGGAAAGTGCATTCACAGGACGCCCCATGCAGGGGCTGTGCGACGGAACAACGGGGTGTCACGAGTGTGGTCAAGTGCGCTGGCACAAGACCTGACGTATTGGGGATTGTGATACGTAATCCTCAGGATGGCTCATGATGCCGCTTATTCCAGTGTTTCATCAATGACGCATGATGCCGCTTTTTCGAGTGCTGTATCATATGACGTTCTCCCAGAAGTAGGTACGTATCATGGGTGTGTTTGGCACGGTGCCGGTATTTTCGGTAAGGTATTCAAGTCCCTACCGAACGCACCGAACACTTCGGTAAGGTATTCAAGTCCATACCGAACGTACCGAACATCTCCGTACGGGTATACCGGAGGTACAATACCGCTGGTACGCCTCGGTATGAACCTTACCAAACACACCCTTGGTACTTGTGTAGATGCGAACACAGAGGCGTGTATGCATATGTATGCATAGCATTTCATGGCGATTGCGCCGGTGTTTCGGAGTTCAAGTCAAACAAGACAGCGCAAGGGTGCACGAAACCAAAAAAGAAGACCAGGAATACCAAGGCATGTCAGGCGTACTTTCCACAACTCTCGCCGGAACTATTCACGGTGTGTGATGGTGTAAGATGATTGTTTGTGTCCTCTGGCCCACGACGAACACTGTCTTTGCCTGTGTGCGCCCAACCTTTGCACGAGCGCGGACCCCAATAAACCTGTAAAGCTTTGCGCCGTGGTAAATAGTCGTACGGGAGGAATCAACTCGTTTGTACAGGAGGAAAAAGCAATCGTTTTGCAGTTGTTCGCCGCTTTGCTTCGAGCTGCCGTCAATTACTTCGCGCTTTTTCCGGATGACCAAGCAGAGCCAAACCAAAGCATGTCAAGTACGCTGTTTTTTGGGGGGTGAAGAATAGGGCCGCGTTTGAGACCTATGCCACGGCGGTTCCGCAGTCGTGCGCGGTCTGTGTGAGGAACGTGGCGATTATGATGGACCCATGGGCACCGCAGCGGGATGATGAAATATTGACAAGGGGTGGGAGAAATATGGTTTGTCCGGCTGCGGTGAAGAGCGTTCGAGTTTCACATTAACTCCTGCTCTTCTCAACAAGCGGCGGCACGGCGGACGGAGAGCATTCGTTTCCGGGGCTTTACTCTCCCCCTGCTTACCCCGGCTTCAAGACCGAGCGAAACGCCTGGTGACCTTACCTTGTCCCGTGTCCCGTGTCCCGTGTACCCGTGTCCCGTCATTTGACCCCCCCCCCGGAACACAATAAGGGCAAAGCACGAGCAGGGAAGCTGCACCCAATACTCGCAAACCGGCACCTCGATACACGCATCAAGTTGACGGTTTTGGAGAGCGTAATCGTACTGCCGCTAGAGTACGCCGGAGAAGTATGGGAAGGAAATAAGAAGGTAGTGAAAGAACTCGAGGCGGCCCAGATGAAAGCAGCGAAAATCATCCTAGGATGCTCCAAGCGCACAAGTAATGCAGCCGTCAGGGCAGAATTGGGGATCCAATCCCTACGGTCGGGAAAGAGACGCGAGGAAGCTGACCTGGCAGTATCGCATGTGCGGGATGGGAGGAGAGGTTGCCGAGAATTGTATGGGAGGCGAAAGTGGGCGAACAAAAAGCGGGGTAGACAACCCACGGAATGGGTCAAGGTTGTAGAGGGCGTATGGAAGGGGCTCGACATCGACGAAGATGAAACGCTGGAAACGGAGGGTCTACAGGGGTTCAAGGAGAAGATATCTGTTGCTGGTGCCGAGAGAGAAGAACATAATCTAAGGAAAGAAACCAACGATAAGGAGGGTTTAGAAGTGTACGGAATGTTGAAGGAAGGAATAGGGT